ACTAGTTGAAAACCACCTCCAGCATCATGATCTGTTTGGTTGCAATGAGTACGTGTTGTTGGAAACTTATTAATGGTACCTTCTCAGCCTCTCACTCCTGTTCTAGTAGTTTGAACAGCTAACCCCATCACTTCACCTCTATATTTTATTCCTTTAGTGGTTGCTATCACCCTTTCTTCTTGAATCGGATTTGATAAACACAAGTTAATAAGGGCAACAGATCAGTTGCTAAGAGATTCAACTGCACAACGCCATAAGTAGCATCACCCAATCCCATGAGGAATTGATGTGCCTTTTCTTCTTCTCTCTACATCTCCAATTTCGATGCAATATTACATTTGCATCCACCTCAACTACAAATAGATGTGTTCTCATGGTTAGCCAACTCATCCCCAAGGTTTTCAACTTTCCATAATATGTTACCACAATCATTCCACCTTGCTTGCAACCAGCTAGATATGACTTTAGTTGTTGTATTCCGGGTCCACTCACAACTGAAAATATTTCCTTTATGTCATCCCATATTTCTTTCTTGGTGTATGTATAAGTTACAGTAGAACAAAACACAGGTTCAACCGTGTTAAGTATCCATGAAACAATCATGGATTTCACTATCCACAAATCTTCCATATCATGTGAGTTTTCATCTAGTGTTTTCATAGTTCCTTTGATGAATCCCCTTTCTTTGTGCAAGCAAAGAAGTTTTCACTGCACGTGCCTACTCATCGTTGTTTTTTCCTCGAAGTTGAATTTGAGATTTCATATTTCTTGGGTTGTCATTATTGTTCAAGTCATAGGGAGGCACATTTTTGCTTCCTTGACTCGAAGAGACTTTTTTATTTCTTTTTATTTGTTTTCCGAATCCGAGTGACTCTCAGAATCTAAATTTTTTTTCAACCTTCATTTTGGTGGTCAGAGCTCTAGTTCCATAAAGAGTTGTGTTTTGTAAAAAACACACTTGTATATGTTTATTTCTTAGTAGGGAAACCAGTATATGTACAACTTGTTTTTCTAAAATTGTGCTAACAAATCCCTATGATTAGTCCTACATTAAAATTATCAGTTATACTAATTAATTGAATACAATCAGATCCAATCATTTAAATTAATGCAAATAGACATTCCAGCCTATACATTCAGAATTCTCCTAAGTCAAAATATTCTCATTAAATATGCATGTGAGTTTAGGATCTACAACATGTTGATAGATATAAAATTGAAAGAATGGAATCAAAGAATACTTTGATCCATAGCAAAAAGTCTCAAGCACTAATTTGGAAATAGATAGAGACGAAGACGAGAAACTAATATTCATTGGCTTCTGACTCTTTCTTGGTTGATATTCATGATACCATGGTACTTTTCAGAGAAATAGAGTGAATTATTTATCATACTTATGTATTAGAGACCATAGCTCATATATAGGTGACGGATCATTAGATTTCTCATTATTATGAAACAATTCATCTGACGCCCACTCATGTTTTGGCCTATATCATATCATTATTCTTTACACGGGCATCCAAATGTTATTTATCATTGGGTTTTTCCTATACAATCTAGTACATGTCATACGAGTACATCAATAATGGGATCATCACATATGTCGTCCCCAACGTATAACATGACAGAACTCTGACGACCACCATACCAATGCATTTGATGACACATATTGATATGAATGAGTGACATAAAAATTTCATGCAATGTGGTCTCTATATCATATATATTTCTAACCGGTCCAACTAAAGTCTTCAGTGAGATCAAAATTAAAGTTTCTGAGGTACAATTTAAAACAAAACATTTGCACATAACAAAAAAAAAACATAATGCTATAACAATAAATAATCATAAACATTATTTATGTAGATATTAAAATATAATAAAGTTTGTTCCAAAAACTAAAACCAAAGTATAAATCATAAAACAAACAAAAAATGTAAGACTCACTAGTTTAAGACAATCTTAAAACCAAGACTCATGTAAACAACATGTGCATGAAAAGTCTTAGGTGTTAAGCCTTTGAATAGTGGATCATCTAGTATTAAGTATATCTATATATGTTTTATCAAAAGAAAATTCTTCTGAAGTTTTTATTTTACAACAAGATATTTGATATTAATTAATTTTTACTTTGTAGCATTCATATTGGTGTTTGAGTAAAGTACATCTGCACTACTGTCACAATAATATTCAAAGGCATTTTGATGCTCCCAATTACGCATAGTCTCATGACGAATTTCAACAATCATGTTGTATGTTTGACGCCTCAAAGAAATCCAGAAAATCCTTACCATGGTGAAAAGCACAACTAAAGTGTGTTTTGCAGACTTCTAAGAGATGACTCTTTCCGGCCAAGAGAAAGATATAACTAAATTTGGATGGTTTTTTGTCCATAAATTCTATAAAACCAGAGTTAAAATATCAAATGATGTCCAAGTTATCTGACTTCTGATAAATGATCACGAAGTATCTAGTTCTCTTCAAGTAGCGTAAAACAAGTTTTACTAGTTATCTGGTGATGCATATAAGGGTTACTCAGATATCTGCCAAGAATTTCTATAATGAGAGCTAAGTCGCAACAAGTGCAAACTTGGGCATATATGAAACTCCCTACAGGTGAAGCATAAGAAATATTATGAACTTATTTCTTTTCAAGAATCGTAACGGGTTATTTGAAATTAAATGTGTCTTCTATAGAAACAATTGTGTCTATTTATTTACTATCTTTCATGTAAAATATATCCAGAAACGTATCAATATGGATCCTTTGTGATATTCTTAAGATATCTCGAGAGTGATATTTAAGTATTTGGATTTCTAAGATAAAGGAGGCGTCCCCAAGATCTTTCATCTCAAAAATATTTGTGAGAAATCTCTTGATTTTAGACAATAAGCATATATTGTTGCTTTCTAAAAGAATGTAATCTACATGTAATGCCAAGAAAATAAATATAACCTCAATGAACTTATTGGTATACACAATGATCAACTAGATTAGCCTCAAAACCACAAAAGAATATGACTTGATGAAATTTGAAATACCATTGACAAGAAGCATGTTTAAGGGTCTTAGTTGGATTTCTTAAGTTTCCAAACTTTCTAGTTGCGATATATATATATATATATATATATATATATATATATATATATATATATATATATATATATATATATATATATATATATATATATATATATATATATATATATATATATATATATATATATATAGGGTTAATACCTATTTTCACCCCTGACATATGGGGTGTATTTGAAAAACTCCCCTGCTAAAAAAAAGTTTCAATTGTTACCTTGACAAATTTTAAAAGTTTCAGTTTTTACCTTGAGGATGCCACATCACCTAAAAGGCTGATGTGGCTTATATTTTTGTTACATTTGTAAGTTTTTGTTATGCCATGTCACACAATACCAAATAAAATGTCCAGAATGCCCTTTCTACATTTTTCTTAAAATCCCAAATTATTTGGCAAATGCTATGTTTCAATTCAGACCCTCCAAATTAGGGCGCAGCCATCTTCATCTCAGCAACCCAACTTTTGCTTTCCTCTTCAACTTTAAGTTTTCTTTGATTTCATAAACATGAGTCAACCAAATTGTTCTACTTCAAGCTTATCTTCAAATGGTAGAGTAACTCCCAAATGCGGCCACAATGTCTCCATGAAGTTATTTGTTTCAAAATCGGTTGCAAATCCCGGGAGAAAATACTGGAAGTGTAAGTTCTGGGGTAAAGGAGATGACTGCAACGCATTTGTTTGGGATGATGAATTTTCTGATGATTTCGGTGATAACGGCCATTCGGATGTAGTTTCAGTAGAACTGATGAGCAAACTGGAGAGAGATATCGCACTGAAGATGGAAGCCATGGAGAAAAAAATGGATGAGTTAAAAAAGAAGCTTAATTATGTTTTAGTTGGGTTTATTTGTCTTTTGGTTCATTTCTTACTTAGTTCATGTAAAAATTCATGAAGTTGTGGCTTATGTTCTAGGAAGTTGTAACCTATGTAAAATTTAGTTCATGAATTATATTTCTTTGTTATGGAATATGGAATATATTACTCTCATGAGTTTTGGTTAGTTGAGTTATGGAATATGGAATATATTTCTTTCTTATGGTTTCTTATGGAATATATTTGCTTAAGTCTGTTCTGATATATTGTTAAGTAAAACTGTTTTGGAATATTTTGGAAATCTGTTCTGATATTTTGGAAATCTGTTCTTAAGCAATTCTGTTGAGTAATTCTGTTGTACAAAATCTGTTGTTAAGCAAATCTGTTGTTAAGTAATTCTGTTCTTAAGCAAATCTGTTGTACAAAATGACAATAACATAGTTAAGCCAATCTGTTGTGATACATAGTCAGGTGTTGATCCAGGCCCACCATGTCTTTTGGCATTCCTCACTTCCTTCAATCTTTCACTGACTCTCTTTCTTGATCGCTTCCAAGGCACGGCCACGGCCTTTTTCCTAGCTGAAGTTTTTTTGACATTAGTAGCAGCAGGGTCAGGTTGCATTGCAGCAGGTTGTGAATCATGTGTTAGGGGAGGTTGCATTGCAGCAGGTTGTGATTCATGTGTTGGGGGAGGTTGCATAGCAGTAGGTTGTGTGGGATTGTCAACTTGTGATTGTTGTTCTTCATAAAGATCCATCATATTATTCAGCAATGCATCCATCTCTGGGCCTTCATCCACAGTTCCACCTCCAGTTTCAGTTGTATCAACATTTGCATCCATCTCTGGGCCTTCATCCACAGTTCCACCTCCAATTGCAGTTGTATCAACATTTGTATCCATCTCTGGGTCTTCATCCACAGTTCCACCTCCAGTTGCAGTTGTATCAACATTTGCATCCATCTCTGGGTCTTCATCCACAGTTCCACCTCCAGTTGCAGTTGTATCAACATTTGCATCCATCTCTGGGCCTTCATCCACAGTCCCATCAGATTTTTTTGACACTTTGGTCCTGGGTGTCTTTCTCTGCATTATTCAGAAACACTGACCTTGTCCCTTTTGCTCTTTTCTTTCATCTTTTTGGGATCCTTGGATGCACAACGCTTGAATCTCAATGATTTCCCTTTGATCTCCACCCTATTCCCACTAACTGGAACAGCTACCTCCACTTGTTCAAATTGCTCTTCTTCAACGTCAATTACTCTTTCCTCTTCACTGTCATTGAAACATTGGCTTGCATCAACATAGTCACCAGTACTATCATCTCCACTAGAGGTGCTGAAGTCATCAACATTAGGTACCAGAACCTTGGTCATCATGTCTTCTACACCGTGCTCTACCCAAAGATCGTCGTGAACCCTACAAGACATACAATGCTTAGCAACTTCTACAACTCCTGCATCATCAACAACATTTGTAAACCCTTCATCCATTTGCGGAATCTTTCTCCATAGCCTAAAACCTTCATAACCCCAATCTTTAACCAGACTAACAGCTTCAAAAAAGCTCCATTTATCTTCGTCCTGACCTTCAACAGTAGTCTCACTACCTCCTCTATAATACGTATGGCCGTCTTGCACGAAACTTCCCCCATGATGAAACACTAAATTAAACACACCCATTTGCAAGGATGAAGAACCCTAATCGCAGGGTCTGAATTGAAACTGGCTTTTTTTGTAAAATAATTTTGCAAACAAATGAAGATGGATGGCTGCGCCCTAATTTGGAGGGTCTGAATTGAAACATAACATTTGCCAAATAATTTGGGATTTTAAGAAAAATGTAGAAAGGGCATTATGGACATTTTATTTGGTATTGTGTGACATGGCATAACAAAAACTTACAAATGTAACAAAAATATAAGTCACATCAGCCTTTTAGGTGATGTGGCATCCTCAAGGTAAAAACTGAAACTTTTAAAATTTGTCAAGGTAACAATTGGAACTTTTTTTTGGCAGGGGGGTTTTTCAAATACACCCCATATGTCAGGGGTGAAAATAGGTATTAACCCATATATATATATATATATATATATATATATATATATATATATATATATATATATATATATATATATATATATATATATATATATATATATATATATATATATATATATATATATATATATATATATATATATATATATATATATATATATATATATATATATATATATATATATATATATATATATATATATATATATATATATATTCTTAAAAACGGTTTCTCTTAATGTTGTTGAGTTTAAACTATAGGTGTTGCTTAAGGAAAAAACTCGATGTTGTCTTGTTCTTGAAGGATGTTAACATCTTGAAGTAGGGGTGACAAAACGGGTCGTCCGCTCCACTCTGCCTTAAGCTCTCCAAAAATAGAGTGGGGCGGGAAAATCTACCAAATGGAAATGGATATAAAAAATCAAGTTCGCCCTGCCAAGGTGGCAGATTGGCGGGCTGCGGGCTTGCCTGCCTACTTGTTTATTTTTGTTTTTCATTTTTTTAAAATATTAATAGATTTTTTTATATTTCAATTATATTTTTCACTTATATTTTAGAATAATTTTTTATAAAACATTTTTTAAAAAAAATTTACTTCAAAAAATATTGCTTACATTCACAAATAAATATATAAAATAAAAACATAAAGAACTGAAATTATTATAATTAATTTAAAAAAAGCGGATTTAAAGTGAGACAAGCTAAACGAATAGGTGCGGCGAATTTTGACGGGTGGTGAATTTTGACGGGACGAGCGTTGGTGGGTGGTGGTCTTTAGCGGGGCGAGCTTTAGTTGGCGGCGGGCCCAAATCTCAATCCAACCCGTCATTTTTTGGCGAGTGCGCAGGCCGGCCCGACGGACCACTGCCCATTTTACCACCCCTATCTTGAAGGATATTAGGAATAACATCTTAATTTGTTTTTGGATCCACTACTGGTAGAATGACATATACAAAAAATTAGTCATGCTTAATAAAAATTTCTTCATCAAGAACAGCACTCTTTATGGTTCTTTTCCCTCCAAACTCTATATCCTCAAGGAAACTTGAATTTTCTGTTTTAAAAACGGTTCTACTTATGGGGTTGTAAAATTTTACCCACGAGAGAGTTCGACGTACCCTACAAAATAGAAACTAACATTATTTGCATCCACCTTACCCACATGAGGGTTATATGGTCTCGCTTCAGCTAGACGTCATCGAATGTGCAAAGAATATAATGTTAAGTTTTATCATAGCCCATCACTCATAAGGAATTTTTTATAGTACTTTACTAAGTACTATATTAAGAATATAAATATCAGTCTTTAATGATTCTCCCTAAAGTGACTCGTGTAAGGGAGAATGACTAGTCATACTCCTCACTATATCCTTAAATGTTTGGTTTCGTCGTTCTGCAACTCCATTCATATAACCCGCTAAGGCTTGAAGAAGACAAGTTGTAATGAGTAGGAAGGATCAATAAAGTTAAGAGTGTGTATATCAAGGATAACTAGACCAATCTCTCAAACCATTCTTTAAAAATCACAAAGGCAAGCCCTAACTTAGGCTCACTGAACTGGGCTTAGGGAAATATTGTTCGGGCCTGGATCAAGAGTAAAGAAAATTCTGATGTTGATAAATGTGACATCAGACCAAGGATGTCACTCTTTTAAGTATGGACCCAAAGAACATTCTAGGACCTTGGGAATAATTATGGACCTACTCTAGAAAAACATGTGATCGATAAATCGTCAGATTATAGAACAAATAATATTTAGACAATTATACCCTTTTAGGTAGCTATTTTACATATAATATTTTAGGTCCCCTTGTTTACCGTGAAATTTTATAAACAACCGTTGATCTTCCAAATCGAATAAAAATTGGTAACTTGCAGGATTGACCAGATTGATCCTAAGTACATGTGTTCTTATTCAAACTTTGTTCTTGAAAACGAAGAATATTTTCGACAACATTCTTATTCTTTTAAACAAAATTGATTTCAATTGTTACTTCGAATGTAGTAATGTAATGCTTTAAAAAAAAGATTGTAATGTAAAAGGCTTTCACCTTAAACTTAAAGGGAATGTATAAAATTTCAATTAAAGTTGAATGATAATAACCATAAAGTTGGTGCATCATACGTACATTTTCACACCTTGTTTCTCGAACGTTGTTACTTTGAGTAATTTAGAGTATTTTGTACAAAAGATGTGAATACCCTGAATCCTAACGCTAAGACCTTTATTTATACTAATTTGACCAAAATGATCACTTCATAAAGTGTTGCCACGTTCCACATCTGCATGCGCCTTCGAACTTTTTGCCTTCACGCGTCTCTTTGGATAAGATCAAACTTTCAAATTTGAAAACTCTTTTGCCTTCGAAATGCCAAACGTGTCGGTCGAAACATCTAATCGGATACTTCGAATAATTTAAATCCCAATGGTTCGCATATGAACCTTTCGCTAACACTTAACGAAAATAAAACTCTTATCAGCTCTTCATTCATCGAGATCTTCATAGAGACTCCTTCATACTTCTCTTCAAACTACATTCTTCCCAAAATATATGATTTCAGCTTAAAAACTCGTGTAGGCGAAATTCTCAATCAACACTCCTAAAACTCTAAAACCATACTTTAAAAAAGGATAAAGACGACAAATCAACGTACAACCCTAAATACCTCTCACTAACTTGAACGTCAGAATATTTGAAAATACATTCTCCCTCAATATTGGACCAAACTTGGAGTAAGCCAGCAACTGTCTAGAAATCATCATAGATATGACTCCTCTCACCTATGTAAGCAACTCAATTCCACGTGAGGTCGATATTTAATTTTGACTTATTATATTTTAATACAAATTAATAGTATTAATAAGAAATATTTTTTTTAAAGGTACTGTATTTAGTTCTTTATAGATAGATGGTTTGACACAAATATTTTAAAATTGTCTTTTACTATAATTAGGGGAGGGGTATTATTTGGGGCCTAGTGAATAAATGTCTACCTAAATATTATTGTTTGTCCAATAGTGTAAAAGTAACGCTTCACCATAACTTGTAGATTGAAGCACGTAAAACTAACTTCTATATAAGCTCTTCACTTTATTCAAAACAATAGATATACGAATCTCTTTATTTCAAATATAAACCCATTCTACAATGTTGTTCTCGTAACCCAATTATATGCAATAGCATTATAGTGCAATGTTAAACACGTTATCTTCCATGAAAATGTTTTACAAAGAATTGTTCCTCCAAATTCTGTTTATTTTTTCCTTCATTACTCTTGGTTCTCAAACTAAGAGTAACTATAACTTTGTTGTGAGTCTCTTTTCATAACCATAATTTACATGTTTTTATTAATATGTCGCATACATAGTTCTTAATTGAGTAATGTTGCAGGTGAAAGAAGCAAGTTACACAAGATTGTGTTCCACAAAAAGCATATTGACTGTGAATGGAAAATTTCCAGGACCAACTCTTAAAGTCTACAAGGGTGATACAATCTATGTTGATGTTTATAACAAAGGAAAACACAACATAACTTTACATTGGTATTTTTTTCTTTTCTTCAACTTTTGATGATACATATACAAAAATAACATTATGGATGGTAAATAATAGATTAAAATTGAGCAGGCATGGAGTGAAGCAACCTAAGAATCCATGGTCAGATGGTCCTGAGTACATAACTCAGTGTCCAATTCAACCAGGAAGGAGATTCAGACAAAAATTGATATTTTCAACAGAGGAAGGGACTTTATGGTGGCATGCTCATAGTGATTGGTCAAGAGCAACTGTCCATGGTGCTATCCATATCTATCCTAGGAAAAATTATACCTACCCTTTTCCTGAACCATATGGACACATACCTATCATATTTGGTATGGATTTTTTTTTGATGTTTGTGGTTGATTATATACTAGTGTACAAGCAGATTTTTTTATTTGAATTGTGTTACTAGGTGAATGGTGGAAGAGTGATGTGAATGATGTTTATAGAGAATTTGTTGAAAGTGGAGGACCCCCAAACATTTCTGATGCTATAACTATAAATGGTCAACCTGGAGATTTGTATCCATGCTCCAAATCGGGTAAGTGCATCAACATTTCTTTTTATTTTCAAATTGGCAAGTGATTAAATTCATATACTTTTAATTTTAACTATGAAGAAATGAGAAACTTTGGGTTAAAACTCATACTTGTATGTTTTAGTATGTTTGAATTAGAGGTAACTTTTTCATATTAACTCAAAATCACATTAAATTTTTTACATTGCTGTTAGATAGTCAAACTATAAAATAATCATTAACTCTTAATTTTCTTTTAATTTCCAGAAACGTTTACGCTAAGTGTGGAGCAGGGAAGGACATATCTTCTACGTGTTGTTAATGCCGCAATGAATCTCATACTCTTTTTCTCTATTTCTAAACACAACCTCACTGTTGTTGGTGCCGATGCTATGTACACAAGGCCAATGACAAAAGATTACATTTTGCATATCACCAGGACAATCAATGGATGTATTGTTGCATGCCAACCAAGAACCTAATCACTACTATTTGGCTGCAAGAGCATATTCAATTGGATTAGTAGAGTTTGACAACACCACAACTACAGCTAGAGTACAATACAGAGGGAGTTATACTCAACCTTTAACTCCTCCATTACCTTATCTTCCGAACTTTACAGACACACAGGCAGCTTTTGACTTCTTCAGAAGCATGAGAAGCTTACCTGAGAAATGCCCCTTTAAAGTTCCAAAAGACATCAGCCAACATATATTAACCACGGTTTCTGTTAACACATTTCCATGTCTCAATGGCCAATCCTGTGGAGGTCCAAATGGAAGCAGTTTAGCTGCTAGCATGAGCAATATAAGCTTTCAAAAACCAACCTATAACATACTAGAAGCTTATTACTATCATATCAAGGGGGTATTCAAAAAGGGATTTCCCAATTTTCCACCTCATATATTTGATTTCACTGGAGATAATTTGCCCCTGACCTTGAATACACCAAGGCGAGTAACTAAAGTTAAAGTTTTTGAACATAACACAACAGTGGAACTAGTTTTCCAAAACACAAATTTGATTACAGGGTTAGACCATCCCATGCATCTCCATGGATTTAGTTTCCATGTCGTTGGGTACGGGTTTGGCAATTTCAACAAAAGTAAGGACCCGGTGAATTACAATCTGTATGATCCTCCACTTATGAATACTGTGATGGTGCCTGTAAATGGATGGGCTGCAATTAGGTTCAGGGCCACCAACCCAGGTATGTGTCCTAGTGAACATGTTTTTTTAAGGTAATGTGATCTTTAAAGCACACCTAAAATTTATTGAAGAAAAAAAAAGGAAAAATGGGACACAAACCAAAACCTCTAAAATAAACAAGAATCAAAACTAATCCTTCTTTTTCCAACGCAAGTTCCTAGCATAGCATATAGCATACTCCTATATACTATTTATATATAACTACTTTTTCCATATTTTCTATTTTTATTAGTCTAAAACTCATTGTTGCACGAAATGTGCATTCAATTACAGGAGTATGGTTCCTGCACTGTCATCTAGAACGTCACCTCACTTGGGGCATGAACACAGTGTTTATTGTGAAGAACGGCAAATCCTTATATGCAAAGTTACCGCCTCCACCGCAAGACATGCCCCCATGTTAGTTAAGCTTTTAGACATTTATGTATAAGCTTTTTTCAGCGTTTTATATATGCACGTGATAAATGTTATAATCACATGTGTGTTTGTTTTGCCCTATGGTTCTAGGAGGCAAGTGTTAAAATTTGAAGAAAAAATGTCTAATTGATAGCATGAACTGTATGTCTAAATTGATTTTATCTTTTAATTAAAAATAACTAAGTAAAAAGTGAACTCCTGAGACTAAGAATATTATTCACTACAATTATGTTTAATAACTTTTGAAATTTCAAAATTATGGTGAGAATTTTAAATAGTCCCTAAACTAAATTTCCAATTGAATATCTAAACTTGTCAATTACTACTATTAGTAATTGGGTCTCTTAACTTACAACTTCTAATTGGATCTCTAAATTTATTAATAAGTTGTAATTATGTCCCTAAATTTTTAAATTTTTTATAACTAAGTGCCTAAATTCAAGGACTTGATTATGAGCTATTAATAAGTATAAAAATTCAATTGAAATTATTAGTTTAATGCCATATTTAAAAGTCTCCAAATAGTTAAAAACCTGCAGAGTGATAAAAACTTAATTTCCAAACCCATATCCAAAGACCTTCCTTAACTCATGGAAAGGTAGAATTTAAGCAATAGAGTTACAGCAGTCGTCAAAATGAAAAAACTGTACATGGTATTTGGAAAAATCCCTTACATTTAGGATTTAACATACACAACAATGGTGAATCCATGGGACCTTTACCTTAAATGGATAGTGGCAGATATGCTTATGCTCTCACACCTATAGACATACCTTATATCAATAGAGAATCCTTAAAGCAGAATCTGCATGAGAAGGAATTGATATTGAGAAGAAAATAAAACAAACTATTGGAAGGCAGAGGTCCTGACATCTCACCAGCTGACTAGAATTTGACAGTAATACATCCAATTTGCTCAAGAAAACCACAAAAAAACTATGGTAAGCTCTTGGCGCCCAGGTAATTAAGCAATAATTTCTTGTATATGTTGAGAGTGCTTTTTTCCTGGGGGAATAAATACCAAATCCTCCCACCCTGAACTCTTATCACTCAACTGCAATATGGGGGAGAAAGAGAGAATTATCACAATCCAAATTAATTTCCAGTTTATAGACCACAACTATGCAGACTTTACTACCTCCATTTTTTTCAGTACATCTTCGAAGCTACCAACCTGCTTAGTTATCAAAAGTAAGCAAATGCATAAGAAACATTCAAATTAATGATAAATTATAAAACAAAACACTCTAGCATTTAACTTCTTTTACCATTTGAAAAATCAGATATCTAGCAGAGTATCCCCACATCTACATATTTACTTTTCATTTATGTAAGAAAATACATGTTTCTCCCTTTCTTGTAACCTTTTCCATGAAAGAAAGATCACAAAAATTTACTCTATGAACTACAATCCCATATAGAGGGCTTCAAATTGCTATTTTTACATTGAAATGTTCCCAAAAGATGCTTTTGTTAGCCATAAAATTTAAGAAACATCAACAAAAATCAAATCCTTTGCAGAACTAAAACTAGTTATTTGCATCAGCATAATTGTTTTCAATGCGATACAGTTTTGTTTGGAGCAATTTTATAAATAGCATAACATACAGGTTTCAAGTGGATCATACTGGCAGTTGAATGTTAAATTATTCGAGACGAGTCTTGGACATAACAGCTTTATGAGTATTAAATAAAATAGGATGTCTTTGTCAAAAAAACATATGCTTTCATTTACTATGTCTAAAAAACATTACGGAAACTAGTAATCAGCTCTGACAAATTCATTGGAAAGTCAAAATAATTACAATTAATTTGATATAAAGAATGACTTAGAACTTGGGAGCAACAAGCTTCTGACAAGCACTTAAAAACAAGAGCAAGAGATGACAGATTCCATACCATTATATGCTGAGAAACTCCAACACCTTTGGATGACCTGGAAACCTTAGCTAGTTCCTGTTCAATATCTTCCTGTCCATTTAACAAACAAATGATAACTATCATATAATTTTGCTCCATCAAGCTACATGCCTAATCAAGATTTAATAGTTAAGTGAAACATTGAAGAGATCAATGGTTAGACAAACCTTAGCAAAATATACAGGGCAATAACGCTTGTTCTTCTTTTTCACCACCAAAAGGTCTGACTGTAAGCACATGTAATTACTAATCAAGGGGTAAAAAGGAAGAATAATGTGATCGATATTTAAATTAGACACCAGATAGTTAGATGGTTTGTAAGCTGCCGGTCTCTAATACTAGTATATTACATACCATGTATTGGCTACGGTTAGTTCAGTGAAAATAAAATATAATGAGTTCCAAACAGATAGCTACTGATATACACACATTAACCAAAATACAAACTTATATACAATTTTGTAACTCCTACCCATGTCCTCTCATTGCCCAAAACAATCCTTTGAAGGACCGAAGGCTGGAAAAAATAAACATACCTGAAATACAGGAACTCCGTCAAAACCTCCCTTGTTGGCTGCTCTGAGCTGATAAACACAAGATGAAAATGAAATCAAATACAATTAGTTAATTGTTCGGTATTTGAAGATATATGCTCAGTTAGACAACTACAATGCATATTATCAAAGCTTCTTTCTCCCATGATTTACGATTCAAACTGATAACACTTAACTAGTTCAATACTGTCAGTTTATCACTGATATCGGACTCAGATGATTAACATACTAGTATGGCTTTAAGCAATATGTTGTGGAACAATTATAAATGATACCAACCTCAAGTGCATTCTTTATTTGGACTGGATCAGGCAAAAATCGGAATGCAATACCTTCAACCTTCAACATGTATACCTATCACACAAGAAGAATAGTTCTATGTAAAAGATATTGCTTCGAAAACTATCAACTTGTGTGTTCCCCCTTATGAAATGGAGAAAACCTACCTGGTCAAGTGTTATAGGAACGACCTTAGCATTGCCGCGAAATTCCTTCTTCCGCGATCGAACCTAAAACAACGAACAAAAAATCAACAGCGTGAAATTAATCGAACGAAAAAAGAAGATAAAGAATTACTGAGAGAGAAACCTGAGCAAGGAATGCTTCAGCGTCTTCTTGGCGAAAGCAGAGCAATCCAATGGACTTAGCACCTTCGGCGTCAGACATAAGAACGAACTCATTGTCGGAATTACTGACGGTGTAAACGGAAGTGCCGGCGAGGGATTTGGCGACGTGGTTGGAAGTTAAAGTAGCGGCGAATGCGGGTTTGGTGCGGGTATGAGACTGAATTAGGGTTCCGGCGAGGCGTTTCGTGTCTTCTAAACGAGTTGCAAGGCTGTTACGGTGGTGATTGATGAACCTTGAAAATGATACAAGAGGATTCCACTGTCCCTGAGACTCCATCTTTGATTCTAGTAGTAAGTTCTAATCTTTTAGAAGGTGGTGGATAACTATAGACATGGATTTTGTCTTAGTTATGACATTTTTTATCTTGCACTCCCACAATTTTTCATAATATTTTAATTATTTTGTCAAATTTTTATAAAAAAATTCCAATAATACAGATAAAAATTCTTGTATGAGTTAAAAAATATGGGAGGATATTTAAAAGTTCGATATGTATTCATATCATTTTTTTCTTAAAAAATTGATGGGAGAAAAATTTATTGATTTTTTAAAAATCATCATTATATACCGTAAAAGAAAAAAAAAATTTATAATAATCATGTATTAAAAAAAATACATAAATAATTATATTTTCGAGAAAATTACACAAATAATCATGTTGTAGAAAATATGTGAATGGTGGCGTCAAGTCAATTGGCGCATGCACACAAGTTTTATAAGGATGTGTCAACTGAGATGGTACATAGGTGCAATGTGTTTGCCCTAAGTCATCTCAGATGGCGCTTAAGTGCTTTTAAGGGCAATGTGATTTTTTTTCTATTTTAAATAAAAGACGAGTGCGAAACAATATTGCATAAGTTCAATTTTTATTAATAACCATATGATTACATAATGAGAGTAACAATTACATTTTATTTAGTTGTTCCTCACCGGTACTTGATAACGACCCTTTATTCCGCATTCGCGTCCACGCCTTGTTCTTGGTGCATTTCGAAGATTTTCCTATTGAGGTTGGGTCGAAGGCTCAACGTAGTCAATGCGTTCAGGATCTAAGAAATCCATCAGATCAATACATTCGGAAGATCCGCTTTGAAAAAGTCGATTACTTATGCCCTCAAAGTTCCATCGTATTGGTTGTGGATGGGGTTCTATGGATGGTCGATAGCACTGATCGTCTGAAAAAGTGGGATTTGTGTAAGTAAAAGAGTCGTGTGGAGTTTGGTATTGGGATTGTTGGGTGCTAGGGTGATGTGATGGTTGATGATAAGATGGGTAGGCTAGGCCATATTCTTCAGGTTCGCCTATATCTGGGCTAAGGTGAGATAATAAGGGGCCCACATCGGAATGTTGGATGTGGGGCATTTGGGTGTATTGGTATTGAGGTTGGGATTGGGATTAGGTGTAAGGCGTATGAATGTACTGGTTTTGAGGTTGGGATTGGGGTTGGGTATGGGGCATATGGGTGTGTTGGTATTAAGGTTGGGATTGGGGTTGGTATTGAGGTTGGGGTCTGTGTCGTCATGGTGTTTGATGGAAGGTTGATTTTATTGGGGTTGTTGTTGGGGGTTTGAGGATTGTGCCCATTGTGTGCGTGAATCGAGCAAATACCTCGGGTGAGACACATGCATTTCAGGGTTAATAACCGACATGTACCAATCAATATACTGATTTGTGTGTTGCATATTACTCTGGTTGAGAAAAACAGGAAATTGTAAGATATGAAGGTGACGCCTAGCCCACATCTTGCACCATTCTGGAGCAAACTCTTTCCAATTATTAACACCTCATTGGGCGTCCACCCTTTTGAGATGCCAAGGTGACAAACAAGTCGGATCGGATGGTATTTCTTGATGCATTCCAAACTGCATTTTGACACGGTCGTTGTGCTACATCTCCATAATGTTGAATCGTATGATTGTAATCTTTGTCGTCCAAACTGTTGCATCTTCGGGATTGGGTTCATGCTCCAAACCCAAATATGGTCTCCAGATAACTGTAGATAAAAATTAATTAGAAGATAGAAAACTTTAAAAATAAATAATTTAAAAGTAGAAAAGTTTAGAGATACTACGTACGTCATTCGGGCCAAGGTGATCCAAAAGATTACGATATAGAGTGACATTGAATCTTGGATTTTTGCTATAATCCATACCCCTTACACAGTACCTAAAGGAATGCAAAAAATTATTAATTTTTTTACATATATTTGGCAAAGAGATGAATAAAAAATTATTGAAAATGTTGACTTACTTTGTTGTGTAGGAAAAAGTGAATGCATTATTGTTTACGGGGTTAAGGGACTTCATTCGCCACCAACCTCATGCTTGAAACAAGAAAGCGCATCCATAAAAAGTACATTTGTCTTTTGATGCGTTCTTACATAATGAACTGTATAGATGGGCTAAAACAGCAGAATCTCGACTATACTTTCTTGTACTCTCAAAACTCCTAAGCAATCTTAAATACATAAAGTTTACAGTATTCCCCGTACTTTCGAGGAATAACAGACTTCCAAATCGTAGCATAATATAATTTCTAGCTTTAATTGTTACTTCTTTCTCGGTCAAATTTTCATTCAACTCAAGAGTCTCGTAATATTTTCTAAGTGCAGTTAATAATATACCTTGGCCTCTAACACCGGTTGCTTCGACCATATCTTTGCCCAACAATGTCTCACATAGAGAATTAGGTTGTTGAACTGACTCATTCACGACCTTACCTTCGATAGAGAGACCCAATAACATGTACACATACTCTAGAGTGATAGTATATTCACATATTGGTAGATGAAATGTGTGTGTCTCAGGTCTCCACCTTTCTAACATTGCAAGTATAAATTTTGAATCAATCGTGCAGTTTGATATTTTTATTATATTTCCAAAACCAGCATATTCTATATATGGAATGATTAACATGTATGACTCAATATAGTGGTGTGAGTGAATTCTAAATATTTTAGGATCCTAAATTCAAAATTTAAATAGTATTAGAGTTTATAAGATCAATGAATTAATAATTTAATAAAAAGTATAAATAATATAAAATAATATAAAAACTTACAAACACCTCAATGTTTGCTTTTGTGCCTCTGTGACAGTCGCCCATTGTTAGAAAAATCATATTTGAAATTGTATAAGACAGTGTAAAATAAGTACCAGAGAGTGTGTAGATTGATGATGCAAAACAAGTGTCTCAGGCGCCATATTTATAGGCGAATTCATATAGATGTGAGTTGATGAGGTGGTTGGAGGTTGCATGCATGCATTTTACGTGTCACCAAGGTGCCATCCAAGTTGGTGACAACATGCAATATTGAATGCATGTGCCATTCAAACTGGCGTGGAACAAACCTACTTAGGTGGCAGCGTATGGGCAGTGTGGGATGGCAGCATAGGGACGGTTTGATACGGATGCGAGCTAGTTGACTGGGCTAGTAGGGATGTGCTATCCCAGTTGGTGCATGTGAACAAAATAAGGAGGATGTGCCATCCTAGATGGCGCCTGGTAGGCTGAGCATTTTTGTCTTATTCAAGTCACATGAATCTTATTTAGTCTCCTACACTCAAACACGAAAACACAATATCCTTTGCACCACAATATGTTATCAGTGCACATTTCAACGGTGAGACGTACAATTATCCCACTTCTAGTTTTTTATTTAGAAACACAGATAACATCCATTTTTTTTAAACAGAAAAGTCAATTTCTTGTATTTCAAAAAACGACTAGAGATCAAACTTAGACGAGGTCAAGTGTCACACATCTTCTACCAAAATCCATTTTTTTGTGAGAACCAAGTAATTTTTTATAAGGTAGAGGTTTAAGATGACGAGGACCTTCAAAATATGTTTTCTAGACATGAGTATTTTGGGTACGACTCGATTGATTTGATCCTCTCGAAGACGAACAAGCAGAAGTAGATGTCGTTGACGAAAGAAGAGGAAGATGAAGAGTTAGCGTTTGACAACATGGTCAACAATGATTCTGAAGACGATGCGGCACCTCAAATACCTCCAAATGAAATCTACACACCACCTACACACATGACAAACTTCAACATGGCCGAAGATGAATTGTCATCCGATTTTTTTCAACTCGTATATGCAGTCAGATGAAAATATAAAAGAGAACGACAAATTTTTCTCACGAGAAGATTGCATGCGAGCTATAAAAAAGTTTCATATGGTAAACTTTGTTGACTTTAAGGTTGATCAGGTAAATCCCTAAAGGTACAAGCTCAAGTGTATTCACACAGATTGTATGTTCAGGCTCACTGCATCATACAGGTTGAGAAGTGGTTGTTGGGTGATAGGTTCAATATCCACCCACACGTGTATTAATTCTACTCAATCACAAGATCATCGTAAATTAAGTTATGATCTAATATGTCAGGGAATCCTACAACTCATCAGCAATGATATGTCATTAAAGGTGAAAACCATAATCTCTCACATCACTATGATATACAATTATACTTCGTAATACAGAAAAGTTTGGTTAGCAAAGGCAAAGGCTATTGAAAAGGTATATGGAAACTGGGAGGAGTCATACAAAGAACTACTGTGCTACACGCATGGACTTCAGACGTATGCCCACTATTTATATTATGGAAACATTGTCGGTGTATGCCCTAGACGGTACTTCTGTCAACAGGAATGGAATATTCAGTCGAATGTTCTGGGCTTTTCAATCCTGCATCACAGGGTTTCTGTCATGCAAACCTATTATCTAGATAGATGGAACGTGGTATTACGGGAAATACAAAGACACGCTACTGATGGCAGATGCACAAGATGACAACAACAACACTTTTCCAATTGCCTTTGCTCTAGTCGAGGGTGAGACTGGTGGGGCTTGGAGTTTATTTATCAAGAATCTCCGAACACACGTGGTTGCACAACCTGATCTCTGTTTGATCTCCGACAGACATGCATCTATTGAGAGTGCATATAATAATCCTGCAAATGGTTGGCATGACCCCCCTTCTACGTATGTTTACTGCATTAGACATATCATTCAAAATTTCAAGAGGGAGATCAAATACAAGGCTCTTCAAAAAAACAATAATGAACACAAGGTATGCATTAATATAACCCTCGTTCAAACACTATCGCAACAAGATTAAATTATCGAATCCGGATGCAGGTAGGTGGTTTAATAATATTCCAGTGGAGAAATGGACAAGGTCATACGACAATGGACAACGATGGGGCCACATGACAATAAATCTTGTTGAATCAATGAAGGGTGTATTCAAAAGCATAGGAAACCTCTCA